CTGGAGGAATTTTTTTTTCTTAGAATTTCATGAAGAACCCGAATATGCTACGAACAATGTCGAAAAAATCGATCCATGCGAATTGACCCGCCCTAATATACATACAAGTAAGTAATACGAAAATTTAGTTTTTTTTAATAACCTAACGTATGCTTCTGTTAGTTTTAAAACGGGAGACAAAACGACTTCGTCTTCTTGTAAGGTTTAGGTACTGCAATTGGAGTAGACTCAGCAATCCGGTTTTATTCCGATCATGGTTGATTAATACGGGTTATAAACGGGCTGGCTTGTCTGCATGCATTTTTATCTTTGAAATGCGCATAAGCAGCCGAAAAAATGCATGAAACTTTTGGGAATTAACTCGGATCAGGGGAATTTTCGATAATAACACTGGTAGAAACGGTCAGCTGTTGTCTTTTAAACAACCCAGATGATAATTGAGTTAGGCCTTCTTAAGTGAAGCCATTCTAAGTGGCCTACCCAAGAAGTTTTGAACAAGTACTTCCTTGCATGCCTTCTAGAAGGGTTAATCTATTTACAATTTACGCGAATGCATAAATTTATATTATTTAGCATTACAAATGAATTTTAAGCAAATACTTCAAAGATATATGATTTTTATAAATTAAAGAAGCAACTTTAAAAGAACTCCTCCAAAAGGCCTTCTGAAGCACGTCCTGTAAAAGCCCTTCTGGAAGGTCTTCTATGGGTAGAGAAAGAGGAAGGCCTTCAATTTGCGCCACTCCATACAAAAAAGAAAGGACAAAGGAATGTAGAGTGGAAGGCCTCTTGATTCTCAGGAAGGCCTTTTGGAAGGACTTTTAACTCCTGAAATTATCTACTGGGAAGTAAGCAAACAAAGCAAGCAAGTTTCCCGTCCGCGGTAGCCGAGTAGTGAGAACTGCGTGCTACAAGTCTGTAGGTGCCAGGTTCGATCGTCAGTTGGAGCGATTGCCAATAAATTATTTATTTATTTTTTTTTTTCTTTTTATATTTAATTTTACTCTTTAGTTTTAATTTTGCTCTTCTTCTAATCTAACTATGAACATACTGGAATATGTAGTACGTAACAAATTATTCTTAAAATTATCTCCTATTTCATGCAACTCAGCTAAGGTTTCAAGAGAGAGTTCTTGACGCTTTTTCCAGTTAAAGGAATTATTAGTGGAATTTTCTAATTACTTGCACTTGGAAAATTCGGAATTTTTTTGATTCGCACTAATGCGATAATAAAAAAAAAATAAAATCTACTACAGGAATTTAGTTTTTCCTGATTTTAAGAGTGATTTATTCCTAAATCGTATTTTAGTAGTCCGAACAGTGACCAGCACAGCTGCCGCAGGCTCTCGCTTTTTATATGTACGTACATCAGTGATGAAATTGATGGTACAATTGTACTTTTTTGGTACATTTTGGAAGCCAAAAGTACATTGGTACTACATTGACATTTTTGATACATTTTTGTCAAGATACGGTACTGCACTACAATTATGTCGAAATACCACACTCTATTTACTTGGAGTTTTGAATTTTTGTGCATAAAAATATGGTCATCTTTTTCTACCTTATTTAAGTAAATACATGGTGTTTATTAAAAACGAAACTCTTACTTAAATAAAAAAAACAGTTTCTGTCATAATAGGTCTATTCATAAAATATTCCAGGAAGTACTAGCAGTCAGAGAATAAAAGAATCATAGCGAGTAAAATTGAGGGGAAGACTAAAATATCAGAAAAAGTTATTGAACGCAGTAAAACTTACGCCATTCTGACTTTCTGATAGGTAAGTAAGTTTTTTTCTAACAAATATTTTTGATACCAAGCACCCTTCCTTGTTTCATTAAGTAGATATAGCTACAAATTTGTCTTTAAAATTATCCCATTTTCGTTTTAACGATCAACTGACAAATTCGGTCAGAACCTTTCAGCATTATTATCTATTTTGGTATATTTCTCAATATTTTGCGTAAATTCCGTCCAACAAATTTTTTCATCTACAATTGAATAATTTTATACGGCAGCCATAGTTGACGCACGGAAATTGGAAAATTAGAAATTAATAGTAAATTAACCAAACTAAGCTTTTCTTCTTTTCTTTTGTTTATTCACGAACACATGTTGTGTTCAGCAGACATTTACTTATAAGTTTTCCTAGGTAAAATCTTTTCCAGCAGAAATTGGCAGATCTCAGTGTCATTTTACGCTCTCGATTTCCCCCACTTTGCGAGATTTCAGGTACTAGAACACTGCTATTAAGTTGTTTATTTCTATAAAAGGAAACATTTCCAAAATATTTTTGTAAAACTTCCATTCCGTTAAATGCAACGGTTTTATTTTTAATTTTGGTATTACTAGCACTTAATAAGTATAACTTGTATGCTTTTCTTGATTACCTTGGCATTTTGGTGGCCTTTTCAAACAATTGATTTGCACTTATGTTTTCCACCTTCGAAACGCCATGTTTTATATCATGATTTTTATACAGAAAATCTAAAAACATATGTATATTTAACTATGTATGTGTGGTCTTTTAAATGTTGGTACTTTTCGGCTTATTTAGTACACATTTTTTTGCCATTTGGTACAAAATTAAAAAACTCATTTAACATCCCTGACGTACATGCAATTTTTGCACTATTTCTGCTCACTCTCTCAACGATTTCATAAAAAATGCAATGTTCCTAACATGTTACTATCTTGACGATGCCAACGATGCAGCGATTCTGCGACGCTAAATAGACAGTTAAGTAGCGTGTACTCGCCACATCGGCATTGCCGATTGTTAACATGTTACCTTTTTATCTAATCGTGCAGCTCTCTGCATAATTAAAGTTGAAATGCGGTTGGCGCAACAAATTTTTTATTCCATATAACGTAAAGTTTAATTATGAATTTTATACTCAAATTCTTCGAGCTTTTCACTATTTTTAACTATCAAGGAGGGTCTGTTTTGGGGAAACTTTCCTATAAGGGCGGTCGCTAAAGGGACGGTGGGCGAAAAGGGAGTTGGTATGGAATGAACCGCCATTGACAAAAAGGCAGCCCATGACTACCTAGACCTCCTATGGGCCCCTAGGGACCCCTTAGAAAAATTGCCAAAAATCACAACTTTCAGTAACATGCAAATTACTGCACGAACGCAAATTTGCAGAAATTTGCAAGTTTCACTCCCAGCTGGTGTGCACGGTTGCATTTCAAACATAATACATTTTTATGGCATTTTTAAAATTCTTTCAGATGGGCAAAAAACAGGGAATACATGTACATTTCTTGTTGTTCCGACTTTCTTTAACATACATACATTTCAATTTCTTTATCGTACTATTTATCGGGTTTCTTAAATCGACTCTAGTTGCAATTGGTTCCGATTGCCACTACAATTTTTTCTCAGCCGAGTACAGTTGAAATAATTGGAATTAGCTAAATTAATTATAAAAACAAGTCTTTAATTCTTTTTTTCATAAAAAATTGCTGGTTTAAAAATTTTTAAAATTAACGAACTTATTTATTCAAATTCGACAAAAATGCAACCATGTGCCGCAATCATATGCTTTTCGTGATTGCCAATTTTTCGCTGACTAAAATTTTTCCAGCAAGAATTGGCAACTTCTCTCCAGGAGAACTGTCAGTTTGCGCTCTCAGTTTTTGAGTGATGGCTAATTTATTGGTCTGCACGAACGCGATTTGGGCAAAAATCATAATCTTCACGCTTGGTCACAGTGAGGGGCGAGGGGCTTAGGTTTTTATCACGTAGTCAATATCCTCTAAGGAAATCTAGCGCTTTTTTTCATATACATTCAATTTCAGATACATTCAAATATGGCGCGCAGTGTTTGACGCTCTTTAAACTCACAGGACTTCTGTTTCTATAAATTAAGTTCTGACTACGATATATTTTTGACATAAGTTTTACCTTGATAATATTTTTTCCACTTGTAATTATAGGTATGCATGCACTCTTGCCGTCATGCAGCAAGTGCCGTATTAATAAAGACAAATACATATAAGCCAAATAAATTTTTTTAACTTTTTTTAGCATGAAATGATTCAAAACTAAATTTATGAATTACTACGTGAAAACTATAGGGGGAGGGGGGAACTTGGAATATACTATGCGTGGTCACCGAGGGGGAAGGGGAGGTTAAAAATTGGAAAAAGTGGGTCACGTAGCATGAGTACGTTCCCTAAGCTGCATTTCTTTATTCATTCTGAACGTTTGGAATAAACTGTTCTTTTTACTTATTCTTAAGAACGGTCCTGATGATATTTGAACGTATGTTGATTCTGGCTGGGAAATGCAATTATCTGGAATGTATAAAGAAACGCAGCCATAAAGTGCTTGTTTCCTTCCCGTTAAAAATTCTTTCAAGAACAATGTTAACAAAACTTTTTCAATGGAAATTTAAGTAACGTAACGCCAGGTAGAAGCATAAACAGACGACATCGTTAATCCGGATCAACTCGGGTTTTAACTGCAGTTGATGCGTAATAACTTCGAGTTAATCCGGATCAACGCTGCTCTGTTTAAGCTTTAAGGTCACGTCAAATAATTCAGCAGATTAAACATAAATTAGAAAAGATTCCTACATTTAAATCTTGGAAAATTAACCTTAAACATTTTCAATATTACTACAAAAACTTTTATACAAATAGTCTTGCCCAATTCGCGAATCTTTGCAATTTTGTAACCCAATTCAAAATCCACTTCTCTTTTTTGTAACGTGACCTAGCGCGTATGTTTACAAATATCTTTAAATCGCTCCTACCACAGTTGTATTTTTTTTACTGAATAAAAGGACATTAAATTGTATGGAAATCAATAAAAACCTTTTTAAAATTTCAACTTTTTCAATTTGTCACGCCGGGGAAACTTTCCATTACCCACGGTGCCACGCCCACTTCCCTTTCGCGCACCGCCCCTTTAACGAGAGTCTTTATTGGAAAGCCAACCCTTTGTTTTTACTTGCATTTACCTTAAATAAATAAGATCTTGTCACTTACCATCGGAATCTTTTGGAAGTAGCAATGACGGATCTTCATTCATACTATCATCATCAAAATCCACAGCTACATTCTCTTCTCCTTTAATATCCTCTATGTTTAACTCAGGTTCACATAATATATTATTTTTTCCATCAAGTGTTGCATTTATTTGTCTATAGGCATTGTCTTCCGATGCTTCTCGTTTCATCCTCATACAATCAAAAGCGATTTGCAGTGTTTGTTGCTTCTCTTTAATGTTCAACCAAAATTTGTGGAATTCGTTTAGATAACGCCAGCAAACCAAGCAAATTTTATTTGAGATTTCATCGTTGAATGTAATCTAGATTTTTGTGCAGATTGATGATAATTTGCAATTAATAAACGGTTGGTAAATAGAATTTAATCGAGTTACCTGAATTTGGAAGTATTTCTCTATAATTTCTTTGGCACCCCCTTCAACTAATTCACCATTGTCTTTGAAGATTTCCAAAAACTCTACCGGTTTATTTAAGCACAATCGGCAAGCCATTTTATCAGTGTATTTAATTATGAATAATTTCTTTTTAGATAAAGCACAGTATAGTTAAAGTATTTCACAAAGTCCTGCAGCGAATATTTTGCCGAAAAATCCTGTAGTGTAGGTATTCACAATGACGGTTTTGTTTATATGGTTAATGGCCTAAAACACACGTGAACAATTGTGCATGCATTAAACTCTGTTTGGTTTAAGGACAGTGATCGGACTCCTAATTCTGTGTGACAGCATCTAGAAAAAAATGTGGTAGATTTCAAAAACATATGCTAATCTCAGGGTTTGGATCACACTTTGTACAAAATTATAAAAATACTGCAAGGTTTCACATAAATTGCCAACTTTTTAATTTGACTCTAAAAAAAATTAATTTTAGTATAATAAAGTGCAACATTTAAGTTGTTAAAAATTGCTTTGAGTTTTAGCAATTTTTTTTCCTTGACAGTGGAAAGCAGTTCCTTCCATATTAAGAATTATTTCAAACATATTTAAGAGATTTCTTGCGGAGTACTGCCAACTTTTCTTTTTATCACATCACGAAGTAGCGAACAAATGTGGCACGTTCCAGAAGCAGCTAATTGGGATTTGCGGGTTTTGACAATTCTCAAGTAAAAGTAAACAAGGCATCTGAAACCTTAGATGCACTTAAATTTGCTAATACTTTCACAAAAATCACTGTTTTTAGCATTTCGGCTATTAATTCTTTTTATAAATCATATATTATGCAATCTAACACAATAAAACCACGTTTCCCTTCGAAAAAATGATCGCTGAGAAAATTTACTATTTTACAGTTTATTTTATCCTCCCATTGGGCTTTGTTTACTTTTACTTGAGAAATTTCATCGTCGCCGGGAATGTGGAATCTTGTATTATATCAATCTTGTTACCGTATAGTGTTTAGTGTTGGACAATTTTTCCTCTTAAAATTAAGAAAACTATGTCGAGCAAAAATAAAACTACTCAAAAACGTGAATATGTGGTAGATTTCAAACTTTGAGTGGTAGATGCAGTAGATGCCCAAAAAGTGGCAGATCTACCACAATGTGGCAAATCCGATCACTGTTTGGGGATGAAACGATAAAAGTAAATACTAGTACGTACTCGATACTTCTCGTACGAACCAATACCCGATTTACACACGGTGGAGAGAATACAGAGGTGGCGCCGATGACGATACCGCTACTCGGCTCTCAGTGATTTTGACAGAATCAGCTGTTTTGGTGACGTCATAGTAGAGAAGACAGCAGTAGTGATGTGCTGAGTCAATACTTTTAAGTACCCAATACTCTCGATACTCGGTACCGAAACATTTAGGTTTCGAATAAAAGCGCACATAGGCCAAAAATATGGAAAAAACGCCTAACAAAACCCGAATGTAAGAGCCAATAGAGCTTTTTTACTGATTCAAATGAAAGATGTATATATGTCGGTTCGATGCCATAATACAGAGAAACCCTTACTTGTTTGAAGCATTTTTGTTCCAGCTGAATCGGACGATATCATTTTTGTAGGCCTGGGATAGATTCTGTAACCAGTTAATGACAATTTTCGAATCGGTATCGGTTTTGTCGATATTTGTAATCAAATATTTGTAAG